TTTTTTTCACCTCGTTTAATGTGTTTAAATTAAATTGTACAACTTAGTAATAAGAAAAATCTCAAGTAGATGTTAAAAATTGCAAAGCATTGTTGATTTATTTAAAATGGAATGATGTATGTCTCTAATTTGTATTTAGATACATTGTATTTATTTTCAATTTTTCTAGTTGAATTTTTCGCCTATATTGCATATGATCTATTATTGTACATAATTCAGATGTAGCAGAATGGTGATGCCAAATATGATAAGATGTGGGGGGCACTCGATCCCTGCACTGACCCTATTTTGCTGTGAAAAGGAGAGAAGAGTGAGGGGAGGTGGAGGATTAATCATTTATTTCTTGCAACTAGCTCAAAGTCCACATTGATCACAGTCTTTTCCTGGGATGAGTTTTGCTAAGACTCATTTTGTCCTTTGTCTCATTCAAAGTTATCACCCCACCAAATCCTTACTGACCAATTAATACCAACTTTTTTCATCTCGTTTAATGTGTTTAAATGAAATTGTTCAACTTATTAACAAGAAAAATTTCAAGTTGATGTTAAAAATTACCACGAAACATTGTTGATTTATCTAAGATGGAATGATCTATTATGACATGTCTTTAATTTGTATTTAGATACATTGTATTTATTTTCAGTTTTTCTAGTTGAATTGTTTACCTACATTGCATATGATCCATTATTGTAGGTTACAATAAAAGTTGTATTTTATATGAATAAAACCTTATGAAAATTGAGATATAGTAGAGTGTGCGGGTGCCTTGTATCATAGATTTGTGGTGGTGGGGAGATAGAACTTTTGCACCAGTCATGGCTCATTAAGACATTTCTCTTGTCAGAGCTACATTAACTCTTAACATGCCATAAGGCATGGGTGGGCAGGTAACCATTTTTCAGACAGACAAAGGTGTTGTTTGTTGAGATGGTGGAATCTTATGTGTCATACGATAACCTCAGTAGCTTACAGAAAAGGTATGAATTCAACTCTTCTCCCCCATCTATGGATTAATTAGTAGGAATTGTATCAGGAAATGATTATTATTGCCCCCAAAATCCTTACAATCTAAGAATATTTTCTGGCTTCAAGAAATCTGCAAAGGATTGATAAGCCGCAAAAACTAAATCAATCAATAAAGGTATTTTCATCTAAGAAAACAGAGGACGACAAATCCAGTGCTTTATTATTCAGAAAAAAAAAAGATTCATTGATTGATTCAATCATTTTCTACAGCTTATCAACCTTTTTCAGGTTATTTAAAGCCAAAAAATATTTTTAGATTGTAAGAATTTTATTTTTGAGATAATGATTTAGTTATACAAGTCTACTAATTAACCTATATCTGGGGGAGAAAAGATGGATTCATACCGAATCAGAATTTGTTAAACAAACAAGAAATTATAATGTGAATGTAAAATGCGGGATCAATTCTATATTACAATAAATATATAAACTGACCCCTCACTTTGTGGCCACAGTTGTTTCTATAAATTTATATTGCAGAAAATGTAAAAATGACATGACTGTGTAGCTATTCAGTATTTGATTGGATGATTGATTTGTTTTTTTACAGTTTATCAAGTTATCAGGTTATTTAAAGCCAGAAAGTATTTTTAGATGCTAAGTGTAAGTGTCCTTTTTTATTTCCATTTTCTCTAAAACTTTGCTGTTGCTCACATGTTCAGTCCATGCTATCCTCAACATCCTTCTGTAGAACCACATGCAAACCCGATCAGCATAAAGAGCCATATAACAAACCTTATCATCCGAATTCTGATAAAAAGAGTGTTTTCATATTCCGATCTATATTTGATCTCAATTCATATGTATGCCATATATTTCTGCATATACAGTGACCTTTAGATGAGATGACGTCAAAGTATATATAAAATTTTCATGAATTTATCCTATACCTTTATTATAAGACGACTGCTTATTGATTATATAAAGATGATGTTATTGGAAATGTTGTTAATTACTGTATCCTTAGAAATTCAAATAAAAACTAAATAACAAAACCAATTCTATTATCATGTTTTATCCGATAAGGGAAACCATTGTTTTGTTTACATTTCATCACGTGATCTCGTCTGAATACTGATTCTTCTTCTTCTTCTTCTATATCAAAATATTTACAAACACCCTGGTGTACTAATGGGCATTTACTTATACTTCATCGACAATCACAAAATGCTGCTTAGAACCATGATAATGTACGTTAATAGTACACTTTCAACAAATTCACAATTACAACTCAATGTTTAGATTTTCAAAGCTGAGCTTGCATGGATACAAGTTGATTTCATTGATATGGAATTATTCTTCAAATAGGCAATTTATTATGAAGTTATGCCAGTAATATATGAGGTAGAAATGGTTTTATTACTTTTATTATCAGCTTATTTGATAATGTGAATTTTTTCATGTATGTTATTGGTTATTGAACTGTGGACAAGTTTAGCCTACTGACAAACATCACTCAGAATTTTTAAGGTTTTTTATGTCTAAATAATGCTTTGCTGCTCCAATACAAATACACTATATATATATATATATATATATAAACAATAAAAAACTTGTTTAGAAGCACTAATGATTTAATAACACAGCAATATACCGTATATTTTGGCGCATAAGGTAACCATTAAATAAGACGAGATAAAAAATATAGCAAATTTTTCATGAATTTATCCTATACCAGTAGTATGGGACAACTGCTTATTGATTATATAAAGATGATGTGATTGGAAATTGTTACTTACTGTGTCCTTAGAAATTCAAAATAATCAAAAATAACAAAACCGATTCTGTATAATGTTTTCCTACACAAAACAAAACAATGATTTCCCCTTTTTACGGTACGTAAAAGAGAAATCATTGTTTTGTCTACGTTTCATCACATGATCTCTTGCGAGTACTGATTCTTTTTTTTCATCCTCCTCCTTTCCTATATCTAAAAATATCTTCTTCTTCTACATCTAAATAGTTACAAACAGCCTGGTGTACTAATGACCATTTACTTATACTTCATCGGCAATTGCAAAATACTGCTTAGACCTACGATAATGTACGATAATAGAACACTTCCAAAAGTTTTTTACATTCACAATTATAATTCAATGTTTAGATTTTCAAAGCTGAGCTTGTATGGATACAAGTTGATTTCATTGATATTGATACAATAGACATTCATTGTCTGTTATATTTAATAATATATGTTTAAATAATGCTTTGCTGCCCCAATACAAATACACTATATATATATATATATATATATATATATATATATATATAAAATTGGTAAGGCACATTTTTGCCGAAGGAGTGGCATCCCTGATGGAAAAAAATGAATACAAGTTCAATCCCTGTAGAGAAGCACATTGATCTTTAGCAGGACTTTTCTATCTAGGCCAGCTGAACATAATTTCACTGTTTAAAAATAATGATTATCGTAACAAAAAATCTTCCCAAGAATCACAACTTTGTGCCACCAGGGACGTGCAAGTAGTGAAATTGGTATCAGCACAAAATGAGAAATCAGGCAGCCCAGTTTGAATTCCAGTTGGGTTTGTTGCATTCACAACATATGCGCATATATCCCTGGGAGAGGCATGAATGTATCTGCTCCCCCTAGCTATGGGTTAAATAGTAGAGGCTATTTCTGTAAACAGTATTATTGTCAAAAACTTATTAATGCAATATTTATTTGCAATAAAAAAAATTATTCTGAAAACCAAGGACATGTTTTGTCTTTAAATAACACACAAAGGGTTCATAAGTTGTAAAAAAAAAAAAAAAAGAAAAGATTAATCAATCGAACTGTAGAAGAAACTCCAATGCTTCTCCAATCATACAATCTTAACCTCTTCAAGTCTTATCTGCCATATCCATGTAAACTTTTCTTTCTGCTTCCTACTCTTCTCTTTATAACACACACCTCATTCATTAACACTCTACCTTGAGTAGCTCTTGAGCCTTGTATAAAAACTGTACTTTGTTGAAAGATCAATATTCCAAATGTTTGAATCTGCCAACTTGTGATGCCTATTGCTCTCTTGGAACCCTAGAATTTCACTCAGAGAATTTGGGGTATTTCAGGTCGAGAAACACGGTGCCAAGATTTTCCTTAGTAATATATTAAGATATTTATGCAAAATCTCAAATAATTTCCAAAATCAAATGTCAGCATTGGAGAAATGGAACACAAGACTGGCAAGAACAGAACATTTATATTCTGCTGATTTTCTCAAATAATTTTTTTTTTTTTTAAATAATAATAAATAAACTCCAAAATTACCCCTACAACACTTGACTCCAGATTTCATTTTTAAAAATGACTTTGTTTTTTAATCATTTTCACACCAAGCAAGGCAATAAAGCCACTAAGACGCAAGGCGGATTTATTGAGGGTGAAAGAAACTGAGAAAGGAGATGGAAGATGATGGTTAATATTGCATTTAAATATTTGAAGAAAGGAAAGCAAGAAGTCGGAAGCGAGTTCCACATGCAAGAAGTGTGAGAGAAGGAACACTCAGAATAGAACTTATGGCTACACTGAGCAACTTCAACAGTAAAATAATGAGACATAACAGCCAATCTAGCACTATGCTTAAATTCATGCTGATCAGAACAATTACCATGAAAATATTTGCAGAAAAGTCACAAAGAAGCTACATTATTTTCACAAATAATGCTTTGGAAATTGTTATGAATAAACTCTAAAATTAAAAAAAAAAAATTTAAATTAGCCACACCACCAACTCCTGATCCTATCAGCCTTGTCAGTTGGAAATATTCAGTCAACAAAATATTTATGACCTAATGCTAACACACTGTGCAGAACTAAAGTCACAACTCCTTGCAAGATTAACAATCCATATCCGTATGCACTTGGTAATGATTTACTAAAGTTAGTTCAACACATGGCCAGCATAGCAGAGTGCTCAGTGTAGATTAAACTCACTATCAATGACTTGTAAGATTAATCTGCTAAAAACCAATCATTGAATGGCAACGACAACCATCTTTGTTTTTAAGAGTAAAGATAGATAGATATGAGCAATGATATAGATAGATAAATAGATAGATAGATATGAGCAATGACATAGATAGATAGATAGATAGATAGATAGATAGATAGATAGATATCAGCAATGACATAGATAGATAGAAAGATAGAAAGATATCAGCAATGACATAGATAGATAGAAAGATAGATAGATATCAGCAAAGACAGAGATAGATAGATAGATAGATAGATAGATAGATAGATATCAGCAAAGACAGAGATAGATAGATAGATAGATAGATAGATAGATAGATAGATAGATATCAGCAAAGACAGAGATAGATAGATAGATAGATAGATAGATAGATATGAATAAAGGCAGATATGAACATAGGTAAATAGAGAGAGAGAGAAAGAGAGAAATATACGAGGATAGATATGAGTAAAGGCAGATATGAACATAGTTAATAGGGAGAGAGAGAGAGAAATATACGAGGATAGATAGATAATGAGTAAAGGCAGATATTAATATAGGTAAATAGAGAGAGAGAGATAGAGAGAGAGAGAGAGAGAGAGAGAGAGAGAGAAAATATACGAGGATAGATAGATAGATAGATAGATAGATAGATAGATAGATAAAAATGGTGATTTTATTAAGATTTCTGGAATTGGATCATGTACCAACTTATCAACGCAACCTTCTGCACATATATTTCAGTTGCTTTTCTTACTGACTTAATTAATTCAACTTAGTGGGGGGGGGGGTAACCTTGGTTGTGTTCCATTTCTTCAAGTTTGAACCAAAAAACAAAAAAAAGAAAACAAAAAATTGAAAAAATTATGAAGATACACAAAAAAGCAAAAAATTTTTCTACTTTACATTTTTATTTTTTTGTCATGTTTCTTTTTACAAAAAAAAAAAAACAGTAAACAGAAGAAAACAAACAATAAAATAAAAAAAAAATTTAAAAAGAAAATTGTTTCAACAACATTGAAAATTTTCGAGGTTGTAGTAAACAAAATTTCAAAAATTAAATTTTTTTCAAACCAGATTAATAAAAAGAAAAAAAAGTTTTTTAAATTCAATTTTCTTCAAAACATATTTTGTATAATTTTTATAAATTAAAAACTCATGCAGATCTATACTCACATTCATGTTCACATATGAAAAAAAAATCTCATCACTGTTCCCTCCCAACTATAATTCTGATATATTTTTCTATATATCTTTCATGTATATATAAGAAATATAAAAAAAAATATTGTTGCCTTTCCATGAGTATCCTGTACCTTGAACCACTAAAGATTGTGATAGTTTGGTTTATTTTGTTTTACGGCATGTCAACACTTCAATGGGTTATTTAATGACAATAAGATTTTTCAGCTAGGTTCATATGAATAGAATATGAATCACTTTGTAAGAAATCAGTTTTGTGGATCAGGTTTGGTTTATTTTGTTTTACGGCATATCAACCTCAATGAGTTACTTAATACCAACATGATTTTTACGATGGGCTCATATGAATAGAACATGTATTCTTTGTAAGAAATCAGTTTGTAGATCAGGTTTCATTCATATGTTTTTGTAAAGAGTTAAATGTATTACCAGTAATAATTTTTTTCAAAAATGTATTGCTGGTATTTTTACTATAAAATTCTATTTTTATAGTATTTTGACACCAGTTTGGGGGTTAACTATTTGCCCATACCTGGGACACTAATAGGTGGACCTGGGAACAACAGCAATTAAGAGGGGGTTTCATGCTCTTTAAAACCTGCTGATCATAGGCCATGCTGCCGGATTTAGTTTATCATCATACTCAGGACACCTAAAGATTTTGAGGCAGCTGTATAACAAACTGGGAGTCCACATGAAACTTTAAGTAGTGGAAAGGCAGCAATATATGAGTATCATTTTTTATATTGGTTCTATTTTTATATTTTTTATATATATTTTATTGAGCACTTTTCTTAATATCCTTATTAGTCCTATTATATATTACAATATATATATATATATATATATATACTGCAGTTCAAATTTTTCAAGCTATGTCCAGAATTAGCATGGGTCGAACTTTACAGAAGAGTGAAAAAAAAAAAAAAAAAATGGAAAAGAGCTCTTAGAGTCATTGAAGAAAGAATGGAATCAATTACTTTGAAAAACTTTTCCAATGAATGCCAAAAACTTGTGCTGCAGTAATCAAGGCTACTTTGTCAAGACCAAAATCAGAAACAATTTTAGGAAAATCAATGACAAAGCGGAAAAAGTTTGTGACTTCATTGAACTAAAGGATAAAATGCATCACACAAAAAACCTTTTCTACATTATCATAGATTTCCCTAAAATATCAATCTCTCTCTCCATATATCTTCCATCTATCTATCTATCTATCTATTTCTCTCCCTTGAGATATTAATTGGTCAGTTGAACCTACAGACTATGTGAATTGAAAAGTCACACCCTTACATACTAAGCAGTGCTGCAACACTTTCCATCGCAACTGGGCTTTATTGGTTGGAGTTGCTGACTCCATGCCCAACTGGTTTTCCTTCTCCTAGACTGGCTACAAAACAAGACTGGAAAGTCCAGTCCACGCCACTGTTTAAACCATAGCTGGATGAAGGAGAAGATATTGATTAATACCTTTCTCAAGGACATTTGTGCAAACATCGACTAGACAGTGTCGTCAGAAATTTGATCTTGGCTCGTTAATCTCACTACACTATGGATATATCCATATGGCGAGAGAGAAAGTCGGAAAGAGAAATGCAAATTAATAAATTGCTATTTAGTTTGGCACAAGGCCATGGGTCACTATTTTAGTGAGTGGTTCCAGGAGATCAGCTGTCACTCTATACCAGGCATTCATGTGATATAGAAAGGTGGGTGTGTAGATATCATTGATTATTACTGTATAACTTCCTTTTTTTTTAACTGAATGTCAGCAAAAAAAAAAGAAGGGCTTTTTACAGATTGGCCAAAAAAATCAAAATATGAGAACAAAAGAAAAAAAAAAGAAGACATTTTTTTTATCATATGGCTGACCAACGAGTGCAAATTAATTACACTATTTACATTGCTCGAACTGTTGTCCTCATTTTAACAATGTTTCAGCCATTGTATGCTCTGGCCTTTTTCAGATGCTTGGAATTAGGAACCAAACTCTTTATTCCATCCACCGGGGTAGATTGTTCGAGTTCCACGTGCCGTGCCTCTTCCAGGTTATCTCCATTTAACTCAACATCCTCAAGGACACATGGCACATGGAACTAGAATAATCTACCCTGGTGGGTGGAATAAAGGGTTCAGTTCAAAATTCCAGTCACCTGAAGAAGGACGGCACATACAACGATTGAAACGTTGTGAACATGGTAACAAAGATGATGACAACAGTCCAAACAATGTAAATAGTGTAAATGATTACAATACCTCATCTCAGAAATATAGACAGATATTGAAGTACAAATTAATTTTTAAATTATATTTCGATTATTTTAATTTAATTTACGATGTTCTCCCTCCTAAGTTTTTATTATTTTGTTTTGAGAAGAAGTTAATATCACAATCTCAAATATATATATATATATATATATATATATATTGTATTTAGAGACATATAAGTAAGAAGTGCCATTTTACATAAACTGCACTAGATATAGCCCAGGAATACGATGACAAAATAAAATGAAGAAAATTTTCTAGAGTCTGTACAAAAAAAAAAAAACGATCTTAAGTGTGGGCGGAAGTAATCTTCAATGATCTTAACTTTTGTAGCAAAAAATATAATACATTAGATTCAGTAGCATAGCTAGAGTGGGGGGCAGGGCAGCAGACTGCCCCGGGTGTCACTTTTAGGGTGGGTGAGGTCTGTTGTATAAGCCTGTATAGGCTGTACTGAAATAAAAGTGGTTTTAATGTCAGGATGCTACTCACAGAAAATGAGTATTTTATTACTCAACAAAAGTGATGGTAAGAAAAAGAATCCAAATGTAGTCCCAGCTAGATTATATACTAAAAGGAAAAGAAATTTTAATGTAAAATTCCAGCATATATATATATATATATATATATATATATATATATATATATATATATAAATATAATATTTATAAAGGTAAGTCACAACAGGAAAACTGTATTGTTAGCCGATTTTTTGTCAATGTGGACTTTTTCAATTCATTTTCATTTTTCCACATTGAAAACGTGTCCACTAATGATATAGACCTATATTCTTTTTACTTTATAAATATATATATATATATATATATATATATATATATACACACACACATACATATATATATATATATATATACATATATATATATATATATATATATATATATATATATATATATATATATATATATATATACATATATATATATATATATATATACATATGAGGGAGTTACTGAGCAATATGTCATATTATTTGTGACGAGACAAGGGAGGAAAAGGCAGGCAGCAAACTAAAGGGCTGCCATAGGTGGCATACATTCTAGCTACGCCAATGATTAGATGTGTATATATACGATATTTAATTCTTTAAACAAACAGTTACATTGCTTCTAAATGTTTGGTTCTGCAAGTCCAAGACTGGAATATTTTCCAGGAAGATCTTGATTAACCTACAAGTTTGGTAAGTCTACCAAAGCATAATCTAAATTCACCTCATCAATCTCCTTAATTGATTCTGAATGAGATTTTTAGACGCATAAGAAAAAGAAAATTGTTTTTTCAGTTTTTTGTTTTTTTTTTAATTTTTATTTATTTATTTATTTAACAACTTAATTCTATTTAAACAAAACTACAGAAATTCAGTCTTCAGAACCACAAAACATGTCTTTTGTTCACTGGAACAAAATAAGCTCAATGATGGGTGTTTGTTCTCATTCTGCTGACAAGACAAGATATCCCTACACATGGACAGTGGAATGAGAACAATCTACTCCCAGAGATTAAAT